CTCCTTTCCCCAGTATCTCCTTGAGCTGTGTGTGAGAGAGCTTTCCCATCCCAGCAACCGTACCTGTACTCCCATCCCTGGCATGGAGCTAGCATCAGCAGCACAGGTTTGGTAAACTTGCCTGGGTGGCTGAGCCCCTCAGTCATTGCCAGGAGGAGATCTTCTCTCTTGGACAATGGGAGCAACAGGTTTGCAGGCAATTGCCAATCTAACTTGCCCTCTCAGCCCTGATGCTCTTGAACACTAGGTTTAAAGCCTGGAGAACTTTAAGCGCAGAAAGGATTGGTCCCCAGCCCTTCCAAGTGACAGATTTTCTTGATAGCAATGGATCACACTGTTCTATGTGTGGCCTCAGCTAGAAGTTCCTGAGATTTCCTTACCAATCCTAAAGAAAAGTATTTGCTGACATACTGGTGTGACCTGCCTGGGAAAGGAGCGACTATCCTGCAGAAGTAGTGAGAGGAAGTGTGTTTTGAGTGGTTCTTCCTGTTCCTTGCCAGGATGCAGCCAACTTCTTTTCCATGGGCTGAGCAGCAGCTGGGAAACTGAGGACACTGCTCAGACACCTGGTCTGTAGTTTTTCTATAAATTTGTCCCCACACAGTTAATGTGTGTGTCATCTTGTGGGGAGCCTGGAGGAGAGGTCTGAGGGTATCAGGTGTAGGCAACATCACCTTCACCTCTTAGGAGGATCCTCTATGCTAGTGAGAAGAAATGAAGGCAGGCCAGACAGGCGGTGCAGATGCAGATGTAATGTAGATAGGACACTGTTTGGGAATCCCCAAGTGTAGCATTCTTCTCATTTTCCAATGCAGGACTATTTGCACCTTTTGTTATTTTGTTTTGTTTTGTACTGGAGATCGAACCTAGAATCTTGCACATGCTAGGGCAAGAGCTCCAGCTCATTTTACTTTTATTTTGAGACAAGATCTTTCTAAGTTGCCTAGGTTGGCCTTGAACTTTTCATCCTCCCACCAGTCTCCCGAGTAGGGGATTATAGGCATGTACCATGGTGCTAGACTTCATACCTATCTTTTAGGTTGGGCTCCAGCATGGCATCTTTAGTCCTTAGTCTGAATCGCTAGATGTTTCTCCTTACCTATTTTTTTCTATTTGAATCAGAGGTTGGCAGGTAGTGGACTCACTGACTAAAGATCATGTCTCTCCACTTCTACAAATAGCAGAAGCCAATTTGTCTGTTCTGGTTCTCTCTCTCTCTCTCTCTCTCTCTCTCTCTCTCTCTCTCTCTCTCTCTGACTTTCATCCTCGCCCTTCTTTCTCTCTCTCTCTCTCACACACACACACATGCCTGCACACATGTGCCGTACAACTCAAGAGAAGAATTGTCTTTTGCAGACAGATGGAATGATGCACAGAGAAATAAATTCCCTGTGTCAGGGCAGGTCCAGTGAAGGACGGACCTCTTGAAGACTTTCTTATATCCGCGATCCTACTGCAGGGAGTTAAGAGGTAAGGGAGTCAAGCACTGTGGGCTCCCTCCCTTTACCCATAAATCAGTTTCCAATCTAACCCCTCCCTGAGGGTTGAGTTACAAACCTCAGTAACCCCAGGGCAGCCTGCCTGGTAATTCCTATTATTCAGCTGTCAGCTGGTTTTTTAAAAGCCACCCTTCCCAATGATCCAGTTACGGGAGTTTCAGAGCCTAGGCCTTGTCTCGGCAAGAAATCCTATAGCCAGGTGAAACAATGGAGAGTGTTCCTGCCTGCTTTCCAAGGGAGCTGGGTTTGCTCTTCAGTTTGGAGCAGCCTCCCCTTAACTCTTTGCATCCCTCCCAGACTGTCAGGAAGGCCTTCCTCTCAGCCTTTGTACTAGTGCCTTTCAGAGACACCCTGCCTTTCTCTGCAGACCCTTCTTGCAGAGCAGCAACGGTCAGCAGAGAACACATTAGAGTGTGGGGTGGCAGGAGAAAGAGAAGAAATACTCCAAAATACGGCTGCTGCAGCTGCAATGTGCTTTGGCTCCCGGCCTAGTGAGAAGGCAGGGTTCATCATCTCTGAGGAGCTGCTGCTTTTAGGGGACTCAGAGCTCAGATGCCCAACCAGCAGGTGCTGTGCTGGAAAGGGAGGAAGGGCACTGAGAGGGAGGGGTCTGCTCTGACAGTGATGAGAGGTGGCAGTAAGGCTCCTGACCTCCCTGATCCCTTTATCCCTGACAGCCTTCTCCCAGGCCCTCTAGCAAAGAAGATTCGGCCTCCTGCTGCTTGACATTAGAGGCTGAGGGCACCTGAGGCCAAGCCACAGGTGTCTTTCAGAACAAGCCTGAGAGAGCAGGCTGGGAAGGCCAGAAGAGGTCTTACAAGGAATATTATTGCGTGGTGAGAGACCCCCTCACAAGCTTTCCCCAGGCCCAATAAGCACTACCAAGATGCTTTTCCTACTCCCCAGCCTAGACTAGGCTACCCCTGCAGCCTGTGTTGACCCAAAGGGCAGACCTCAAGTTGCTTTGTCCTTTAGTTCCACTCTTGGCTCCACGGATACCACTGGCCAGCCTGAGGCACTGGCCTAGGTAGGACATCAGTGAGGGAGGGAAGGGAAGGAAGAAGGCCAGGGAGGTCCGTGCATGGATAACAGTGGCGAGCTACCAGTGCTACCTCACAGTAGTTGGTCCCCTCTTCTCCCCTGTGGCATGTGTACAAGTCACCCTGCCCAGCTCTGCCATGCTTCCCGCTAAAATGACGTACCTGCTTTTGGCTCCAGCCCCTCTTCCTTATGAGTAGGTGCTCCATAAATATGTCAACTCCCTGGCAGAGGAATGGATGCTGGCCAGCTGAGTCCGCCCTTTTCCTTCCCCCCCCCTCATCTGTCCCTTGGGAACAGTATTTTCCTACTGTAGTAGATACAGTCCTCAGTATGCCTGCTTCCCCCTTTTCCAGCTGCACTCTGAGGGAGGTAGGGAAGGAATGGACATGAGGAGGGCACGAAGAGACTTTGGGCTGAGGGTGCCAGCGCCACCTAATTAAGTTCATCTGAGTTTACAATGAGACAGACAGACAGACAGACAGACAGTCACTTGGCCACACTATTGGTCAGGTTCCTATCAGGTAGCACCCATACTATTGGAGCGCTGCTTCTCCTCACTGCCTTCTGCTCTTCATTTATCTTTCTTAAAATTTAGGTCAAGTGGCACATCTTCTATAAAATCTCTACTGCCTCCCCTTTATAAAATACAGGTTCCTCAGCCTGGCATTCAGGGGCACCTCTACCATCTGACCTGGACCTACTGGCTCATGTCCATCCTTCCTACATCTGGGTGCAACTGATGATGCAGTCATTCAGCTTGCCCCTGCCTCTAAGATTAGTTGGCCATTTTATTCTCCTCCCTCCAGACCTCCCCTGCTTCCCAGTTTTCTTTTATTGAAAAATTTCCATGGTCTTCAAGACCTACACAATACTTCCATTTTTATTTTTTACCCAAGTACATATTAGGGATCAGAACCAGGGCCTTCCCAGGAAGCTACTTGTCCAGTCTTTTTATTTATTTATTTTTATTTTGAGACAGTCTTGCTAAGTTGCTAAATTGCCTAGTCTGAGCTCCTACTTGCAATCCTCCTGCCTCAGCCTCCCGGACTGCTCGGATTACAGGCATGCTCGGATTATACCAGCAGCCTTCTGAGTTTTCTGCAATCCTCAACAGTCAGTAGCCCCAGAATGAACGCCATGTATATCGTTTTTCTATTATTTCCTAGCGAGCTGTGGGCTCCCTGAGGGCTCCCCAGGTTTTTGGCTCTTAGTCGAGCACCTGGCACCGAGTAGATGCTCCATAAATGTTCAGTAGTCCAGCGTCCCTTGCTGATAGGACCTCCGGTGGGGTGCTTTGCTGTCCTGGCAACCGCAGCACGGTCATTAGTTGCTGCCTTGAACACTGTGTGTTAGCTGCCCAGGCAGCCCTGCGTTCTGGATCTCCCTTCTCAGATGCTTCTTTCCCCAGTATTTGCTCCCAGTCTAGGACATGTGGGCCCCTGCGACTGTGCTTGATCCAAAAGTCATTTAGGAACAGCGCCAGACAAGCTGGTTCACAGGCTTCTTGCCTCTGTCCCCGCCTGCAAGCGGGAGGGCGCTCTTCCAGCTGGGATCCTCTGCACCCTCCACACCTTGCACCAGTGGACACAGTCAGTCCCTATCCCGTGGAGGACGCGCTTCAGTTATTCAGCCGATTCCAGAGCAGGAGACGAAAGTCACTTTGGCGCCCCCTCTCCAACGAATAGCGACCTCAGGGACTCCGGCGCATTGGAAGCCAGCGCTGGGAACACTGGTCACGCGGGCGACCGCGCTCCAGCTGCGCTTCTGACTGTGGTCAGAAATGCGCACGGCCCCTTACGGTGTTTCTGAGGAAAGGTTTTGTACATTCGTGACCGTCCCTGGCAGCCGCAGAGCCCGGGACTTGGGTTGCACTCGCCATTGGCTCGCAGTCCGCGTGACGCGCAGGGGCGGGGCCTTGTCAGCTGTTTGCGGGATGCCCGGAGCGGGCGTATTTTGGAAACAATACCGCGCGGTGCGCCCTGGCCTCCTCCGCGCCTGCTCGCGCCGCCGCCGCCCTAGTCCGCGCTGCCCGCCTCCCGCCGCAGCCGGGTGAGCTCCCGGGCGGCCGGGGGCCGGGCGGGGTTGGATCGCACCTCCTCGGGGAAGTGGGGGACGGCGTTGCGCTGCGCGTGGGGGCCGGGGAAGGTTTTGGGCTGAGGGCATCTGGGGTGACCACGAGGGTCTGGGGCGCTAGACTGTGAGGACGGGATGCAGAACGCCTATCTGGGGCGCGCTGTTCCAAAAGTGCGTAGCGTTTGGAGCTCGAAGGAGCCGTGTCCCTGCGGGCAGGGATACTGGGGTGCCCTGCTAGACAGACCTGGGCGCCTGAGATGGCCTGGCCTCTGGGTCTGGCTGAGGGGTAGGGCGGGGAATTGGGGACGTTCTGTCTCCCTGCGCACTCTGAAGCCCCCTCTCCTTAACAGTGGGCTTCCCCCTTCTTCCCCATCGAGTCTGGGCGCCCAGCCCCTGAGTGCTCGTCACGCTGGACCCTGGCGCAGAGCCCTGGCACCACGACTCGGAGGCCGATTCTCTCTCCTGGAGTCACCCAGGTCTGCGTGTGTGTGTGTGTGTGTGTGTGTGTGTGTGTGTGTACGTGTACGCGCGCGCGCGTGCCCCGAGATTTTAACCACTACCTTCTTCTGAGAGGAGGAGGAGTCTTAAGTTCAGCATCCTAGTTTGATCTCTTCTGCTCTGGGTTGGTTTCTACATGCTTTAGTTCCCTGGGTAGGAATAAAAGCATTCCCTGGCAGTGACCTCAGCAAGTGATGTCCACACCTATCCTGCCAGTGTGAACATCACCACTTCTGCCCCAGGAAGACAGAGAGGGCCCCTTTGCTGGACCGCGTCAGGCCCCTCCCGAGGCTCCCAGCAGCGGGAGAGCCACCTGCAGTTCCTGTGGAGAGTGGCAGGGGGTCCCCGGAGTTTTCAGAGCCACGCTTTCTGGCTACACCTCCCCCACTGTCCAGTCCAGGAAAGAACTGGACTTTGGGGCTATGCTGGGAGGGGGAGGGGAGGTGATAAGCTTCAAAAGAAACCAAGACAATGACTCCTCTTTTGATTGGCTGTGGAGCACCCCTTTTTAGGTTGGGGTTGCCAGCCTGCCTTGGAGGCTGAAGGGCAGAAGGGGAGCCCCTGCCAGGTGACAGCACTTGATCCTCTCAGGGAAGCACTTTGTTTCCTGTTGCTGATAAGCACCCCGCACACACATACATATTGGGACACACTATCTAGAGAGGTCTGCGTTGTCATCCTATCAGGCACTGCCTCACTGTCCTGGGAAGGGGGCAGAGGCAGGACTGTGCGGAGCAAGGAACAGATGGGGTGGAGGAAGGCTCGGAGCTAGTGCTTCAGAGGACTTGCTTTGGGAAAGGCAGGTCTTCTGAATTTGACTGAGAAGTCTAGCCACTTGGCTTGTGCTTCAGATTGCAGACAGGAGACAAAACTCTTGGGAATATTTAATTGATCCTGATAGGGACAAGGTCTGGGGCTGTTTCCTTAACCATTCTGGTGGTTGCTGCTTCTAGTTGCTCCCAGGGTCCTAAGGGGGGTGGGGAGAGCTGGGTGGCTCAGGGAGCAGACTTCCAAGAGCCATCAGGTGGAGCAAGAGGAACTTCTGTATCACCAAGAAACTCACATCAACAACCTGAGTGGTACAGGCAGTGAGTGAGGTCAGAGAGAGGACTGAATTTCACTTCCTTCTGTGAGGCACAGTGCAGTAATCTCAGGTCAACACTGGCAGGAACAGGAGGCTGGGGCGTGAGGAAGATTGGAGATCAGTGACTAGACTGAGCTGGGGGAGGCTGGACACTTTGCCAAAGCCTGGACTTCTCCAAAGGCCAACTTGTGGTGGGCTAATGGCTCTGCTGTGCTCGAGGAGTGCTGAGGAGGCGACTACAGTGACTAACTTAGCTCTTTATCTCCTCTCTCAGGACACACGCTTAAGTACACCGCAGAACTGTTTGTTGTGTTGTGCAAGCAGGGGGTGGAGACCAGCGTGCATGGTGGTGGGTGGGGCTTAGCAGGTTTGGAGGGAACCTAGCTGGCCTAGAATTATTGCTGCTTTTGTTTTTGCTGCTGAGCTTGGAGCTTAGCTCAGACCGAGATGAGAGCTTGGAGAATACTTCTTCAGTGGTCAGTATGTGTGTGTGTGTGTGTGTGTGTGTGCGCGCACACCCATACGTGTGCATGTGTGAGTGCTGAGCATTGTTTATGTAGTCAGTCACTGCCCTTTTCTGGCTCCCATAGCCACTTACAGAGGCTAGACTTGGATCTGTTGTCCTCGGTGCCCTGTGTGATGGTAGCACCTGCTATCACTCACAACCCTCAAACTCAAACTTTGTGACCTGCTTAGATCAGAAGAGGTCAGGGGAAGGGTGGCTCTGATGGGCCCCAAGAAGAAGTCTGGAGAGGACCTTGAGGTTGAAGCAGTGCCCATTTAGGGACTGGGCATCACCTATCCCATCCGCACCTAGCTCAGCTCCCTCAGATGAGAAGGGGAAGCAGGAAAGAAAGAAGAGAGGGAGGACCTCTGGGTGTGGCCTGGGTGGGCAGCATCCCAGATGCCTGTGTTGGTCCCTAACAGGGGAGATGGAGCCACCTCAGTGTGTGGAGGAGCTGGAGGATGATGTATTCCAACCCGAGGATGGGGAGCCAGGGACCCAGCCTGGGAGCCTGCTCTCTGCTGATCTCTTTGCCCAGAGCCAGCTGGATTGTCCCCTTGGTCGGCTGCACCTCTTCCCTCTCACCCACTGCTGTGGCCCTGGGCTTCGACCCACCAGCCAGGAAGACAAGGCCACTCAGACCCTCAGCCCATCCTCTCCAAGCCAGGGTGTCATGCTGCCTTGTGGGGTGACTGAGGAACCCCAGCGACTCTTTTATGGTGAGTGCTCTTAGCCTTAGGACTCCTCCTATAGAGGATGGGGGAAGAGAAGGGATTTGCTCTCCCTAAACCTGTCCTCTGCTCTTTCTTTTTCAAGATAAGCAGCAGAGGCTGTTGATCCCTCATCTTTTTGCCTTTTGCATCTCTCCTTGTTACTGTTTGTCACCTGTGCTAGGCTCTGCACAAGGTAGATTGCTTTGCTTTGCTTTCTGCGCTGTTGTCCATTCGTGCAGGGATCCTGGGGCCCATGGTATCTCCTTTCACATCCTGTGCCTTGGAGTGGCTCAGTCTTTCAGTGCTGGTAGTGATTTGCTTTCTCTAAAGTAGCTAATGTTATTTTAGAGAAGGCTGGGAGATCTGTGACTCGCTGTTGACACTCAGGGGAAAACCCAGCCAGTTTGGGCCTGGAGGGTTCTCGAAGGCAGAAGGTGACCCCGGTTGTCACTTGGGACTTTCTGTGCTTGGAAGGGGAAATGGAGAAAGAGGTTGGCCCTGCCTAGGCCCAGTGCCAGCAGAGGGGCTCTTTCTAACTCTCAATCAGATAAGACTCCTTCATTTGTGGGCGTAGTGGTTTGTTTTATAAGACATATGTCCTCCTTTGGCAAAGGGGCAGGGCTGGCCACTTGGCTGTTTTCTTCTTTTAGCACACTGGCTGGTGGAGCGAGGGGGACAGCTCACAGTGACACTGCAGTGTCTGCTAAACAGAGTGGGATACACTGTTGCCCAAGGGAACTGCTCCATGCGGCGCTGCTGGTGAAGCGAATTCTGGAGGGAGTCTGAGAAGTTGGACAAGGCTGGCAGCCTGGCAAGCAGGAAAAGGAGGGAAAAGGCAGGTGGGCTGGTGCCCCTAGTGGCCATACTGGTGCCAGCCCTTGGCAAGTACCCTGCTCGCAGAGAGCTGCTCTTGCAGCGAGCTCCAGGGAGGACCTTGGCTGCTCTGCAGGCCTCAGGAGTTTCCTCTCGCTTTTGTGCTGCTGCCCAGAGCTTCGGGTGTTGAGCCCATCTTTCTCTCTGCTTCGCTAGAAGAGGAAAGATGGTCCATGTGTTGTTTTTCTCTGTGTCCTGCTTTGCTTACCCCAGGAACTCTTGAGGCTGCTTGTGGTTTTCCAGAGAAGAGCTGCAACCTGCTGCTACATTAATAATAAATTGTGGTCAAGTGTGGCTTGATAAATAAGGACAGAAGGTTGGCACGCTCACTTGCACACATTACCACCCTGCCCTGTGCCGTGGCACTGACAGTGACTGGAGCACAGTAAAGAGTGAAGAGAAGGCTTTCTTCTCCTGGCAGCAATTTGTTTGTGTTTGTGTATGTGTGTGCACCCAGGAGATTGAACCCAGGGCTTTACACATGCTAAGATCCACCGAACCCTACCCCAAGTCCCTTCATCAGTTTTGTTTTTTTTTTTTTTTTTTTTTTTGTTTTTTTTGTAATTAAACACTTGGGCGGCAGGAGGGAAGACTGTCCAAGCTTGGCCAAGTGGCCTGGTGAAGGAAGGCTTCTTCCTTTTCCTCCCCATCCTAATGTTTACCCTCAAGCCCGGGTCATGGCCAGAAGGGCAGACAAGGAGAGGATGGGACAGGGGTGGAGAAGACTGAGATGTGGGTCTTCTCTTTTCGCAGGCAATGCTGGCTACCGGCTTCCTCTCCCTGCCAGTTTCCCTGCAGGCTTGCCCCTTGAGGAGCAGCCTCCCGAAGGTCAGTGGCAACATCGAGCAGAGGTACAGATCGCCCGGAAGCTTCGGTGCATTGCTGACCAGTTCCACCGGCTTCACATGCAACAAGTAGGCCTAAGGGCTGGAATGGGGGATGCGTCTGCTGGGGCTGGGGGCCAAAGCCTGCCTTTGTCCTCCCCAGCAGCTGGTCCCTGCCCAGTGATTGTGGACTTGGCTTTTGTCATTCCTATCAATCCCATGGACCCAACTGGATGAGCACTCTCACCCTTGTCTCTGAGCCCCACGTTGTTATCTGCCTGTCCTTAGCCCCTGCCCCATAAGAGCCAAAAGCCACTGTGACCTCTCCTTTTGAACTGGGTGGCTTTCTCCAGCTTAGCTTGGCAGACTCTTGTTTTCCAGACCAGGGTTGGCACTTGTGTGTCACAGACCAGAGGGGAAGATTTCCAGGGCGCTGCAGTGGAGTGGGCAGTTGGGGGAGCCTGAAGAGGTGCAGCGGGAAGGGGTAATCAGGCCCAAGGATGGGGCCTGAGTGGGGGAAAGCGGTGGAACCGGTTGAAACCTGACACTTTCCAGCTGGGGAGCCACTCCTCACTGTCTGTCTGGGAACCCCAGCCGCAGGCCTGGGACTCTGAGCACACCTCGAGAGTCTCCCCAGACCGGCGGCCAGCCAGGCGTTCTGCGGCAGCCTGGCACCAGCTCCGCCAGGGCGGAGCATCGCATGTCAGCAGAGCATGTGGCAGAGACCATCAACAAAGGCGGCGGCTGGCAGGCTCGTGCTGGAGGAGCCCTTGGTGCCATAGGCTGGAAACTGCCCTGCTGCACGACAGCCACTGTCTGAGCCTGGCCTCAGGCACTTAACCCTTCCTCACCTGGCATGCTTTCTGGATGGCTGCCAAGGTGGGGAGAGAAACCTGAGGCTGGATTGTGCTGTTATAGCCACTGTCCAGGCAAAGCCATGCCACCTGGCAGGGAACACGTTCCTAACCCCTGGGACTATGTCCTTGACCTGATGTGTGTGTGTGTGTATGTGTGTGTGTGTGTGTGTGTGTGTGTGTGTGTCTTGTCTGTCTGCCTGCCTGTTTGCCTGCCTGCCTGTCTGTCTGTCTGAAAGTTAAGAAAATAAATAACTAGCATGATTCTGCAGACTCTGAGATTAGATAAGTAACTTCAGGTGACCGGAAGAGACTTATTGGTAGTGGTCAGTTTGACTTTGAGATCAAATTGTTGCCAGCACCAGAAGAAACAGGATTTGGGTGAGGATGAAGATTGACCTTGGGATTCCTGAGATCAGGCCATGGAGGTTACATGTTCTACCTTCAGCCAGAGGATTCTGGGGGAGATTTAGGGCAAGACCTGGTCCTGGTCAGCTCTTCCAGCTCTTGACAATCAGAAAGGGAGAGTGGCCCCCTGGTCCCAGCTTGGTCCCTGTTCTCTCCGATTGTTTTGTGGAAGCTCGGCTTAGAGTTTCCTTTTGGCCCATGTTATGGTTTCCAGGATTTTTGCTGTCAGTCTCCTGGCCTGCTTCCTGCCCATTCACTCTATCCTGGTTGTACAGGCCCATGAATGAGCCCATCTTAGTTTCTGGGCCTGATGATGGCAAAGAGCAGGGAGGATGCAGAGGCTGTTGGTTCCTAACTTGGTCTACAGGACATCTGGGAGGCAGCTTTCTTCATTCAGAGTAATCTAACCTGGCTCAATAGGTTTTTTTTCCCTAGAATGTTCACCATCCAGAGGGAGCCTGGAGCAGGCTGAGAGGCCTCTTTTGCCCAGCTGCACCCTGTTGCAGGAGGAGGCCCTTATCTTGAGGTCTGACCCACTCTTTGCTGCCTGGTATTATTTTTCCCAGATTGGTACTGTGTACTTGAAGGAGCAGGGCAGATCTGGACTGGTCTCAGCTAGGACCACCCTAGCTGGGGAGAAGTAAAACTGGTAGAGAAGTCCATGAGCCTTCCCTGCCCTGCACGTCATCCTACACTGATGCCAAGTTTCTGTGCCCCTGTCTTCCTGGCAGTCACTTACTTTTCTACTTTGCAGGGGCAGGAAGATGACCAGTAAGGCCTTTCAAGTCCAAAGAGTTGGGTTCAGTCAGGTTTTCCTTCACAAAGAGACAGGCCTTTTGTCTTCTTCTGGAGAATTATCTCTAGTCCTCTGGCTTTTAGCTTTCTTTTCCCCACAAAGGGCCACAGTGATAGTAGATAGAACACTAGCACTCCTGGATCTTTTAAATCTGGCTTAAAAAATGAGTCACTTATGAGCTTGACCGTCACATAAGCTGTGGTTTACTAGTTCATGTCTAGAAAGTATTGTTGTCACTCTGACATTTTAATTTTCTTTCTCCATTCCCTGTTCCTCTCTCTCTCTCTCTCTCTCTCTCTCTCTCTCTCTCTCTGTCTCTCTGTCTCTCTCCCCCCCCACCCACCTTTTTTGGTGGTAGTGGGGATTGAACCCAGGGCTTCACACATGCTGGGCAAACATTCTACCACTGAATAATCCCCCAGGCCCTGTCATTTTTGGAGGCTGAGAGAGTAAGGCACTGAGAAGGAAATTGTCAGGGGTTCAGTCTTCAGTCTTCAGGTACAGAGGTTGAGGGCTCAAGTTTAAATAAGAACCCTGTCACCTGAGGCTCACCAGTAGCTAATGGCATTGGGAAGTCAGTTGACCTTGCTGAGCCTGTTTCCTCTTCTGTAAATTAAATCTAACACTACAGCATTTTATCATGAAGATTAAGTGAGAAAAATCTAGAAAAATTTTACACTCATAGTGATTTTTTAAAATATGTTTGACAAAGTCATGCATATGTAAAGTATCTAACATCACGCTTTGAGATACATAGATAGTGTGAATGATTACTACAATGGAGCTAATTAATACTCCATCACCTCCCTTATAGCTGTAGATGTTCTTGAATACTTGTTTCCTTCTGCTTCTAATTCCGATTTTGTTTTGTTGGTTCACAGTTCATTTCTCTTTCTCCCTGCCAAGCTCAACTCTGAGCAGATCTGCTGTCCCTGAACCTTCTCTGCCTGTCCTGTCCACAGACACCAGTATCCAAGCTGCCCAATTGTGGACCTTTACCTTATCCATTTTTCCTCAGGGAGTAACAATTGTTCCCCATCAATGTGGGCAACATTTAAAGACCCTCTGAGATAGGCAGCCCCAAAGGCATACAGAGGTTGGGAAGGCCTGATCTCCTTCCCTCCTAAGTCTGTAACCATGTCTAGACCATGAAGACTAGCCTTCAATCTTATAGGAATTGCAAGGTCCCCCTTCTGTTCCTTGTTATAGACCCATTTTTTTCGGTTTGTTGTTGTTGTTGTTGTTTTTCCTGCACTAGGGAAACCTTCCTTGGAGATATGAAATAGGGGGTCGGGGAGAGGGCAGCATACAGCGGGTTCCAGATTTCCTGGGTTGTCACAGTATGCAGGCCATGTGCCATCTCTGCATGTTTCCTGAAGAATGCAGGTAGGTGGGAGGCTAACCTGGTTGCCCAAAAAGTTGGTTCTAGGTGGCTTCTCTGGACCCACTGGTGAGAATATAGAGGTGGAAGATTAGTTAGCCAGTGCCCAGCATTAGCTCTTTGGGTTTCTGAACCAGTGAGAGAGCCGAAGGCCAAGTGAGTGGAGATAAAACTTCCAAATCTTGCCACATGCCCTACTGCTGACTAAGTCAGGTGGGAAGGTTTCCCTCTTTGTTCCTCTTAAACCAAGGCTGCACTGGGATTCCTGATGCCCACTGACAGTGATGTAGTCTGACTTGGGTTCTGTGAGGGCGATGTCCTACTGTTCCCTAGTCCTTCCAGTTTCTGAGCTCACAGGCTGCCCTGGCTGAAACGAGCCTCAGCTTCTTCCCATTTCCCATGCTAGGGTCTTTTCCAGCAAATGCCTAGGGAAGAAAGGTGAGGAACTGGTTCCCTCCTCTTGGAAAAGCCTCTTTTTCCATTGGCCCATCTTGAAATTTACGCAGGTCTGGATGATGTTATAAAGCTAAAGAGTCTCAAAAAGGTAGCTGCGGTGGAACACTGAGTGAGTCTGAAGCTACAGGAGGGCTGGAATTCTTTATATTAGAAATGGTTCCTTTACTTGTTTTTTTTTTTTTTTTTTTGCGGTTCTGGGGATTGAACTCAGGACCTTGCACTTGCCAGGCAAGTACTTATTTTACTGGGCTATCTCCCCAACCCCCAGAAATGGTTCCTTTAAATGGACTAGGTATGGCTCCATTCAGAAAAGTCTGATTTGGAAATTCCCTGAATAGTAATTAGACTTTTTGGAAAATGAAATCTAAGAAAAATTTCAATCATTCAGTTGAAACAACCTTTAGTTGTGGTATCACAGGAAGGATCCTGGACTTCAGTAGTTCTGGACTAAAATCCCAGCTCTGCCACTTACATGGTCTTCGCTAATGGACAGACCACGTAACCGAGCCTCTGGTTCCAATGCTTACTTGCAGAATTGCCATGAAAGGCATTAGAGAAGCATAATACATGTAACTACTGGGGTATAGATGTAGCTCAGGGGTAGAGTACTTGCCTAGCTTGTGTGAGGCCCTGGGTTGGATCCCTAGCACTGGAGACAACAACGATAGACTTGTACATCTTTGGAAATATATTTAAAAAATGAGTTTGGGAGTTTTGTTAGGCCTGATTTACAGTTCTTGGGACTCTACTTGAAAGTCATACTGAAGTTGGTGATTGCATGGTTCATTAACCAGCAGTTTCTCTGCCAGGCAGCCTGGGTCCTTTGTTCAGGGAGGGCCTGACTGCTTCCTGACTCTTCAGGGTGCTGTCCTTGTAGGTGAGTGGTTGTCTGGATCTCAGAAAGATTAAGAGGTCACCTGAGTTCTACAGGGGACAGCTGTGGACAGAGGCCCCAGTGGTTCACCCTCAAGTGAGCAGTGCCCCTAGAGAGAGCAAGTGTCTGTCCCAGGAGTGGCAGGTCCTAGGTGCCAAGGGAGGAGTGAGGATAGGGGAGGAGCAACAGTGGAGAGGCTCTGTGTGTGTGTGTGTGTGCGCACGCGCGTCTGCACGCCTGTGCGCGTGCTCATGCACCAGTGCTGGGACTTGGGGGCCCTGTGTTTGCTCTGTGGCTGGCTCTGTTTATATCACTCGCTAA